CCAAGGGATCCAGAGAGACTGTGTCAAACCTGTTGAAACTTTAGGACTTTGGAAGTTTTTGGGAAAAAAGCTTGAGAGAAGCAATCTGTCCTACCAGGACAGAGTAGGAAGAGGAAGATCACTTACCAATGGGGATTTTTGCCCCTCACTCAGAGTTTTCTCTGTTTCAATAGCTTGTTCTGGTTTCTAGTGTAATAAAAGCCATAACTAGAGATCAAAGTACAAGTACTGATTTTTCACTTTTATTTTTATTTTACTCTAAGGTGAAAACACAGGCTGATGCACTTCAAGCTCAGGTCAGCTCATGATCCCATGTGACACGAAGTAAATATTTTGACATTCCTATCCATGCTGGTCCATAACCAAAACATGATTATGTGTCTTTTCCAACCTGGCTGATTCTATGATTCTATGACCATGTTCTACCTAAACTCACTTGTTTTGTTCTGAGATCCTCACCCAAAGGTTCTGTGCTTCCTATGTCACTAAAGTTTTCCCAGCTTACTTTTCTTAAGCTTGAAACAGCTCAGCATGAGTGGTTTAAAAGATCTTTTTAAGCATCATTGGTGGGGTAATTTTTGTTTGGGTCTTCTTTTTTTTTTTTGGGTTTTTGTTTCACGAGTTCATTGTTCATTTTGCACAAGAGGCAGGACAGTGGTGTTGGAAGTGCTTATAGGAGCCTTTGGTTTTCATAAGAGTGTTTCACAATATCATAGGAAGAAATTAACAACATGTCAAACACATTTTTTTAAGGATTTTTTTTCACATCTGTGTAAGGCTGAACCTGATTCCACTTCTATGACATTATACAAGGGAGGCTTATTTTCTTTTAACGTAACTCTGAACCACTGTAAAATTCCAAACATTGAATGCTTTCAGAAGAAGCTTAGACATTATCCATGCATGTTTTCCTGATTCTGTTAATGCATAAAATGGTAAAGGTATTTGTCTTTGTAACAAGGCAAACGTTTATTGGTACTGCCTATCTAGCACTTCTGAGCAGAGGGTTTTCCCAAACATTTCAGAATGATAGTTGTGTAATTTATCTATGGAATGCTTTTCATCACTAAAGACAAGCTAGTTAGTTACATTTTATTTTAATTTTTTTTTTACCGGGCACTGAAAGCAAAGAGATCTGGAATAAACTGCTAATCTTAGCTTTATTTGTCATCTTAAGGAACAATTGTTTTCACCTGCAGAGGCTGAGGACAGAATGGCTTTAAAAGTCACAGGTCTTGAGAGCCTGCAGGGATTTTGTGTCTGTCTAAAGGTGCTGTAGTCATTAGCTGGGGTTTTTTTTTTTGCTAAAGCCCTTGTTGTGTGTGGTCACTGTAATAGTGCATTGTCCCTGTACCTTCCTGTACCTGTGACCAGCCTTCCTATGTGTTTGATGAACAGAAACTGATTTAATTCCTGCAAACTGGAGTGTTTCAGAGTCAGAAGGATGTGTCTCATGTATTGATATGAAGAAGGGTAGAAAACCCAGCACTAGTTTCAGTGAAAATGAGACCTGATCTAATATTAATCAATAGACAATAAAGGTTTCATCAATCACTCTCAATGGTTTCTGATTGTTTCTTCAATCAAACTGACAGAGAGTAGGTTTAGTTTGGATATTAGGAAGAAATTCTTTCCTGTGAGGCACTGGCACAGGTTGCCCAACAGGTTGCCCGGGGAAGTTGTGGCTGCCCCAACCCTGGAAGTGTTCACAGTCCAGTTTAATGGAGCTCTAGTGGGAGGTGTCCCTGCCTATGGGAGGAGATTGGAACAGGATGATCCTTAAGGTCCTTTCCAACCCAAACCATTCTGTGATTCTCTCACCCTAAACTTCTGGGAAAGCGATTGGTGGTATTTTTTGTTTGGGTGTGCTGATGGGGATCTGTGGTTCTCTTCATTGTAAAGATTCAAGAAGGACTTCCCAGCTGCTTTCCTTGTCAGTCACATGCCTCTTTGTCATCAGGATGAGAAAGTGGTTAAAACAGTCTTTGTAACAGACTAGTTTGTTTTCTGTTTGACTGTGCCTAGCTGTTGATCATCTTAATTTTTTGTTTTCTTTTAGGTATTGGCACATTAATAGCAAATAATGTCTATGATGCAGCATACCCTCTTCATGATGTATGTATATACTATTAAAAATCTAATACCCTGCTGGTATCACTCAATAGTGCATAGATATTAATGTTTGCTGTCTCTGAGAGTAAAAATATATTCTAAGTGTGTGACTCAAATATGAAACTCTTCTATAAATACCTTTCAAGTTGTGACCAAAAAAAAATTAACTGTAGGAAAAACTGAGCAAACTTTTATTTAGTTTTTCTGGT